TGAGAAAGCAAGCTGCCAGATCCAAAGTAAAAAAGCCCTTTACTTGTCATCTGGGGACTCCTGCAGAAAAAAAAAATAAAAAATAAGAAAGAAAGTTTCATGCCGAATCAGCAAGAGAACAACTCTGTAGCTCTTCAGGCTATCTGTGTTTCACTGGCACATCAAGTCAGATTGCCACCAAACCATCCTACTACCCTATACAAAGCCAGGCAAAAACCACAGCAGCTTTGAAGAGACAGAAGACTCATGAAGAAAAACCAAAAAGGAACTTCCTTCCTTCCAAGCAGGTAGATGTGACACTTCTCAGTAAGAGAGCTTCCTGCATCAACCACTTACTTATGTTTACATTTATGCCAAACCTCTCTCCCCACCTGCAGAGGTCCTACAGACCAGACAGTCTCTAACAGCTGAATCCTGAAGATAGCTGCATTTAAATTTGGAATGAGGTTCTTAGGTGCTGCTCATTGCTACAAACTCCTGTGTTTCAACAAGGCTGAGATTTCATTCTAGGTGTTCTCAGCTGCCATGCTCCACCTATGGGAGCATGTCTTATGAGAAGGAAAAAAGTCTTATCAGGGCAAACTCAAAATGCAAGCCATGCCTTCTGCAAACCTTGTTCCACCCAAATCACAACCTCCTCACGTCCAGTAAAGGATTACAAGGGGAAAGAAACACAGCCTTAGGTTTGTTCTGGGAAAGAAAAAGATCTTTTCTAGACATAGTCTGCACTACTACGATAGTTACATGCAACAAATTAATTAGAAAAACATTGGGACATCAGGCCACAGCAGCCTGCCAAAAGCAGTCCCCCACCTTCCTTTTCAGGGCCAGCATCCTGGATTATTTGTCCTTGCTGAGATGTAAATACTTTAGCAAAGCCTCTGGTTTACTGGCATATAGATCTTTTTTTTCCCACTGTAGTGGACAAGCATCAGCAAGCCTGGCTACCAACAGCTTTGTTCATACTAGTCCTGGGAGACCAGGAATATAGACAAGCCTCCTTGGACTGTGCAGGCAGAGGAGAGCAGAACTTTGCTCTGACAGAAGGTTTAATCAGGGAAACTTTGCAAACATAGATGCGGGTAAACATTGGTGGGATGTTTACAAAGTAAACCAAGAACAGAAAGCAAAAGCAATATCTCATGGCAACACAGCAAGTCAGTGGCAGAGTTTATGACCTAAATGGTATCCCCCTAATGCAAGGGAGTTTGGATGTCCAGACTAAACTTTGCCAGGTCCTGGAACAAAGCCCTCCCTCTTGGTTGGAGACTGAGAGAGATAAAAGGGGATGCCTTGGTTTGTTGGTACATCAGAGTAAAAACATGAAAAAAATACAGCAGCCTATTCAAGTCACAGAGCACAGACTCTTCATTATGCCCAGCACTGTAATGAAAAGAGAACAAAAAGCCACCAACCCTATAGGATAGGAACTTCCCACACCCAGTCAGTCTACAAAGGGAAAAATAAGTTCACCCTTTTCTTCTACTCTGCACACAAAAAAAAACTCCCAAGGAAAAAACCTCTTTCCAATGTCAATTTTACAATTCACCCCCTCAGATGAATTATTAATCTGCACACAATATCAGTTGTCATCTGGTGCCTGCAAAGCCCATACAATCTTTCCACCCTGAATCTCTTCCTAACCTGCTGGAAGAAAGCAAAGAGCTTGATCCTGTGACAGGACCCTCATTGTGCCCAATCAACAAAACCTCAATCCATGGCTCCCAGAGCTCAACCCCCTCCCCGAACCTCACAGAGGAGGTACCCTCATGCCAGGATTCCATCAAGTCCCCACGATGCTGTTCGCACATGTTCAAAGCAGAAATGTTTGTGCATGTGCAGACCAACATGACCAGAAATGGGGCAGGGTTCAAGAAAAATAAGAAGTGTGGAAATCAGGGAGATTTTTTAAAAGTTCAAAAGCATAACATAAAAATCGATTGCATAGCAGAAACAAACTTTAACCAAGATGATGGATTACAGACAAAAAGAAAATAAACTTTAAATCCTTACAGTTACAGTTTGAACAAGCTTGAGAACACCAGGCCCCTTCCGAGACACCATGACATTAGAGGCATTACAACTTCACTCCATTTTAAGAAGTTCAGAATTATGAAAGGTTCAGAGCTCAATGTCTCAGTCTGGAAATCCTTCAGCTACGTACAGGGTGAACAAAGTGTGACTTCCAGTCTAAATCTCCTAATTGATATTTGCAAAGGGTGGTATATGAGTTAGCAATGGTTTCGTGGGTCCTTTCAGCTAGGTGGGTTCCTCAGGACAGAGGCATCAACTTATCTGACACATTTCACTGGATAACGGGAAAATTATTGCCAAGTACTGTACTTAAGGCTACCTTTGAATAGAGAGAGATGGGCTAAAAGGGTGCACAGACCACTCAAAAACAGCATAGCCAACCATTCTGCCCCATATTTCCTGTGGAATCGAGAAAATGTTTTCCAAAAATAGCCAATAGTTTTGCTGAAAGGCTCAAAACAAACAGTACTTCTGAAGGAATATCTTACATACTTTACATAATAGCCATCTCAGAAGGGGAAAAAGGATGTGTACAGTGTTTCAGCGTGAATTCTGCATTGAACAAAAAGACATCATTCTTTGCTTAACACAAGGCTTAAATTCACCATGAAGGGAACTGCTCAAGTCATAGCCTCAGGGCTCAAGTTAGGAGGGAGATACCACTCTGAAGGGAAGAGTTTTTATCCTAGATTCAAATTGAAAGAAGATATGTAAAAGAAACACCGTCAGCTTGTTTAAGCCTCAAAAAGGAAAGTTCAACCCCATACAGCATCCCTCCACAAAAATCTAATCCATTTTTAAGTGCTTGGTCTGCTGTGTAGCTATATCTACCTCTACACACTCATGCTTACCTTTTTATTATTATTTTTTAAACACCTGGTCCTTATCTCCAGACACA